CACTGAGTGATACAGCTGGAATTCAAAACTAGGCCTGTCAAACATCAAAGTATGTAAGCGCCCCGTGTTCACAAACATTAAAGAAGAATTCACCTGGCTACTCAGATAGAGCCTGGCTGTTTTCCATACTCATTGTACTTCTCACCTCTGTCCAGAACTGAAGCATTCAGCATGTTGTATTTTGATGGTAGTCTATCTGGCTCCTCTGATTTTGGTTTTGTCCAAGTGTTCCCAGCCCATGGCAGCCCCGTCATGTGTCCCTGCACTTCCGAGTTGCCCAGGAAAAGGTTGAGAAACAGCACTTTATATTGTTATGATCTACCTTCCCCCCTCATCATACGCTTCCAGGTGCTAGTAATCAGTCTGAACCAGCTAATCCCAAACTGTCGCAGGGTGGATGCTAACACTTCCCAGGTGTGGCTCTGCGGACTTTCAAAAGATCCACTCACCTACGTCCCCAGAGTCAAAAAGAATTTGTACTGATTGGTAAGAGAATGGTGTTTCATTTACCTTAGTTTTGTATAGCGGGTTCCCAACGAGGTTAATCACCAGAAACAGTTCAGAGATTTTTAAGCATATAGATTCTGGAGGCCACTCCAGGAATCAGTAAATTTTAAAAGCTTCAGGGCTAATTCAGAAACCCATTCAGGTTTGGGAACCCAGTGGAGTGGATACACCATGGGTGCTGGGAGCAGAAGACCTGGGTTTAAGTTCTCGTCTGCCACAGTGTGATCTGGGCAAATTAACCTCTTGGAACATCAATTTCCTCTTAAGCAGAGGGAGGTTGTAAAATACTTATTTCTTGGTATGTAGGGGGGAGGACTGAATAAGATAACTTAGGTGAAAAATATTCATACATAATTATTTTCATTTAATATTAACCTACCTCATTAAGAAAGTCTCAAAAGTAAAATGAGCACACAGTCCAACTTCAAATTCATTTTTGGCACTTAGTTAATGCATCTCCCCACATTCATCCTTGAATTCAATAATTCCAAATTCATGACAAATACAGCCATAGCTATCCCTTATAAAAACAAACATGTGCATTACAGTTACATTTAAAGAGAAGCCAAGAATCTTGAGAAGCCTTTTTTGTCCTCAAGCCATCAATTTGTCTGTCTTTTGGGAAAGGGTGTTTTGGATTTCTTGCTATCAATCCTTCACTTAATATGGAACTTCATGAATTCCAGCTGTTAGCCACATAATTTCTCTCCACATTTGATTTCTGGGCTTTTCCCTCGTCTCTAAATCCTTCCCATGTGTTAGTCAGGGGGCCCCGGGCCTGGGGGGCAGAGGACAAGAGGCTCAGAGCTACCCTCTGTCCAAAGGCTAGAGTGATGTGTGGGACCACATGACAAGGCACAAGTGCCCTGATTAGGAGGTGCTCTCTGTCCTCATACCAGGCCTTCTGCCCTCCAGGCTCTGGCAGCCACCTGCTCCTTCTTTTCCCGAGCTATTCTTCAATTCACCATGTTAAAAAAAAAAAAAAAAGTATACTTTTTTTTAAGCTGAAACCACCCCTAGACTGTCTGCATTCTGGCTTTTGTTTACAAAGGCTCTGCGGTGTTCTTGTCAAGGGAAGAAGAGGAAAAAAATACCCCCCTTCATCTTCAATTTAACCTCTTACAATCTCTTTTAGTACTCTAGAAAAATATGAAACAGTGATTCATATGGGAAAGATATGATTCCTAAGAAATGGAACAGTGGCTCAAAATACTCAAATACATACATAAGTAAAAGGCTGCAATTTTTAAGCCAGGAATATTTGTTTGAAATGAAATGCATTGAATGTAGCCTCTAACATAAGGAGTGCCTAGCGGTTTCACAGTTGACTTGAAACCAGGAATCCTAGGACTGTTAAATTTTGCCAGCAGCTCAGGTTGTGCCCCAGCCTGGACGTGGTGGATCCCTCCGGCTCCGCCTCTCCATCTTGGCACGCGTGATGAGGGACCAGACCACCTCAAAAGCCGCTGAAGCTTTCTCTGACCCCTCCACCTGACAGAAAGTTAATTATGCTCTTTTCTGAAGTATTTATCCATCCATCATAGCCCATTCTGCCTTATTAAAATTTTGGCAACTTCTTCAGCCTCCCCAACCTCCCTTCAGGTCCCCAGCCTCAGGAGGCTGAGCCCTCCTTAAGGTGAAGATTATCCCATATTCATCAGGATGCTCCCCCCGCCTCCAGTAGCCAGTGCTGTGTCTGCCAAATCCTGAACGTTTGTTGCCGAACTTCACCAGTGGCAATGTCTGTTTGGAGAATTAAGGAAAGTATATGTGTTGGGTATTTGTGATATGTTCATCTTAAACTATTTTTCCACAACTCTCATTCTTCCCTTCCTCTCTGCCCTACAATCTTCTCCGGACAGACTATATTTGGAGCGTTTATTTAATTCTGAGCGCCAGCTCTTGAAATGTATGTGGAGAGATGAGAACACATCCAGAGCTCAGCAGACAGCCTGGTGGGTAGCAGATGCATCAGATGCCTCTTGTGCCCAATTCTGATTCTCTTGGTCCTACCTGTCCCTAGTTCCAGCCACTGCCACAGGACCAGATCGACTTCCCACAGGTATACCTGTCCGCACTTGCCTCAGATCCAGCCTCCTGCCTTTCATTGCCTCCTCAGGGCTTCTTTGCTGAGGAGGAGGTGAGGTTGGGGGTGCCCGCTCTGCTCAGGCACACGCAACCCGAGAGTGAGGAAGAGTAAACACCTACCTCACTGGGCAAACCTCTGACCAATGGGGGTGGCAGCCAATGGGTAAATGCTCCCCCTGGACAGACAGTCCGGAGACACATGTCATATGGCTCCTTGGGCCCTGTGGTGGGATGGTGCATCCTGTCCCCAAGCAGTGGCCAATCTGAAAATGCATCTTTTATTGACTCTCCCTCCTTCCCTGCACAGCTCCTCCATCTCACTTCTGCTCCCTAGATCATACTCCCCAGTAAAATGTTTACACATAAGCTTTGGTCGATACCTGAGTGAATGGATCAGGATGATGAACGTCTACAAATGGCATCCCATGGTGCACAAAGAACCAGGGCAAGATTCTTTTTAAAAAAGAAAGACCTCGGGGCTGGCCCTAGTAGCATAGTGGTTAAGTTTGGTGCACTCCATTTTGGTGGCCTGGGTTTGCAGGTTCCGATCTGGGGGGCAAAGCTACACTACTCGTCAGCCACACTGTGACAGCCACCCACGTATAAAATAGAGGACAACTGGCATAGATTTTAGCTCAGGGCTAATCTCCTCCAAGCAAAAAGAAGAGGAAGACTGGCAACAGATGTCAGATCAGGGCAAATCTTCCTCAGGAAAAAAAAAAAAAAAAGACAGAAAGACCTTGAAAGAATATGAAACTTGTCATGTAGAAGAAAGAATAGATTTATTTTGTGTTGCTCCAATCAAGTTCAACTAGACCCATAAGTGAAAGGAACAATGAGGAAGACTTTGGCTTAATCCAGATTTTAAAAAAATGTGTAACAGTTAGAACTGGCTTCCCCACCAATGTCCTAGCTGCCAGCTTTCCTCTCAGACCTATCCCAAACAGGATTCGCAGAATCTTCCTTTAATTAACAGCCCTTTAATGAAATTATCCCTTGTTTAAACACCTCTAATAGCTTGCAGCTCATTTAAGGACCAGATTCAAACTCTGGCATTGGAATTGTTCGGCAATACGATGAGCAGAATTGTGAGGTAAGGAGAGCTCTGTCACAAGGAGCGTTCAATTGGTTGTAAATAAGACTCTCTCTCAGTTCCCTCTTTCCAGGTGCCTGCTAGTCACATCCACTCTGGGTTCCATTATCACTTTGTCTTGAGTCTATCTAAAACAGAATTCATGTCCTCCCCAACCTCCACCAAACACTTTCTCGACTTCTTCATTTCTGAAGCGGTGCTTTCCCATCCCCTGTTGAATTCCTCACCAGGGGTAAGACCCTGCCCAAATGCTGCCTCCACCATAACTTCTCCCCACTTCATCCTCTTCTATTCTTTTCACGCTGACATTATAGTACTCAACACGTACAACCGTAGGTGCTGCAAACAGACACAAGTCTGCGAACACTTGGAGGACAGATACTGTCTCATTTTTTTTTTAACAATCTCAGCACCTAAACAGTGTCCTGACCATCGTAAGCACTCAGAAAGTATTTGGTAAATGAGTCAATTAAAGAACAAAGTGATGTTAAGGGACATGATTCCTCAAAGTACCACAGTGTGAAGACTGAGAGTGACTGTTGGCTCCCCGCCTCAAATCCCATAGCCAATCACCCACGAGTCTTGCTTCTCTCTTCCAATCCCTCACCTCTCCTGGCTTATATCTCCATCTCACAGATCCGGTCTGGGCTTTGAATCTCATTCAGTAACTTCCCAGCCTCTGTCTCTACCTCTAGCTACTTCCAACACCTTTTATTATCCATTCACTGTGGATAAAAACACCAGATTATTCATTCTTAAAACCCTACTGCTCGTTTCCCTCTACCCATGAGATGAAATCCAAGTGCCTCGTCTAGGAATCCAGTTGTCTTCTGGTCCTATCTTTCCAGCTTTATTTCCCATACTTCTTAAGTCAAACTGGTGTCTTCTCTTCCCTATGTTCCCAACTGCGGCTTCTGGTTTCTTCTGCCTGGCCAAATCCTACACTGTTTTACGCACTGGTTCAAATCCCCTCGCCTCCATAAAGACTTTCCTATCGACTCCAGTCCTGAATGCTCACTCCATTCTCTGAATTTCTAATGCACTTACTGCCTACAACCATCCTCCAAGATTGGCCCTCACCAAAACACACACACACAAAAATCTGTGAAGGCAAGTAAGTTTGGGAGAAGAATATCTATACATATTCTGTAACAGTTAACATCTATTGAGGGCATGTGTCAGCCATTAGCTTTACTGATGCTGTTGTTTCAATTACTCCTCACAGCAACCCTGAGGAGCTGTTCATATCTCAGTCTACAGATAAGAAAACTGAGGTGAGATATTTGACCCCCTTAAGCCTCGATTTTCTTACCTGTAAAGTAGGATTCAAACCCATGCAGAGCTTGTGGCATGCACTTCTTGAGTATACGTAGTTGGTCCAATTTGCAGGTCTATAAAATGCAGTACAAACGGAAGAGGTTGCCACTATCAATATCATTTTGTTCCTCAACTAGATGGAAGCTCTCTGAGGGCAAACACCAGTCCCATTCCACTTTATGTCTCCACAGCATAGAGCACAGTAAATGCCCATCCCCCAGTGAAGTGGGCGATTTTTTCCTTCATTTTCACATTATTAATGAACTCTTTTTAATGTATAAAAACAATACATTAAAACTTTTCACAGCACTTTCTCTGCCATTAACCCCTTTTATTTTCACAACAATGCTCAGATAGGTCAGTATTTTCAGAGCTTTTCATATACAAGAAAATTGAGATCCAGAGAAGTTAGATGATCCCCCCAGGAGTGAACATCTAGGATTTGGCAAGTAATAGGCTTCCTACGTCTCACCCTAATGAATGGACAATCCTCACACCTCTGACACCAGGGTCCCCTGTCAGCATTTCCAGGAGGGGCTTGATTGTCCACGTTGAGCAAGGCCCTTTATTTCACTCAATCGCCACTGGACTGTCAACCTCAGAAATATATAAAAATGTAACTGCTCTTTCAGGAAAAAAATAATAAAGGCTTTCTGATGCATCTACCTTGAATGTATTCGGGCCACTGTTTTGTGGAAATTAAATCACTGTCTCTCTGAAGTGAATTGCTAGAGGAATACATAATATTACACCAAATCAAGCCCCTGTTCCTCTTGTGACTTCTTCGTTATTCTTACCTTCTTTGCTTATCCAATCATTCACTTGTTTGTATTCAGTATTTGAACCCTGTAATGGAACATAAAATATAATAGATCTTCTTTCATCTCCTGGTGGGTATGTATATGGAAATTGTTCACACACAGGCACAGCTGTATGCTTCACTGTGTAGGACTTAGTCCTCTTGTCTCTGCAAGGCCACATCTTGTGTTCTCAAGGCTTTTGCCTAAATAATGGGCTTTGATATTTCTATCAGCAGCAATCTACTTTCTCTCAAAAACTCCCTCTGGTCTGCGGGGGAGGTTGTTTTCAATGAATTTTTCTGCTCTTTCCTTTCCTGTCGTCCTTTTCCTGATCAATGTTTTAGTCTAACTACTTGATTTTCAAATTACTTTGCAATTACCAAATGTTTAGCTAATTTTAGCTTAATTTCAAAAAGTGATTTTCATTGGTGCCATGTCTGTCTTTGTTCTTTTCCTTGGCAATATTATAGCTAGATGTGAAATTAATTCTGCCCTGATTTTAACAATGCTACCCGAACTAGCTAGCTGTTCTTCTTTGAGGAAGCATCAATTAAAAAAAAAAAAAAAAAGCATTCAAGCTGATGGATGAAAGAATTAGGATCTCTTAGCCTGAAAAAGTGTCGAGGGGTGACTATAATGGCCTTTAAGTACATAGGAGATAATGCCTAGTTGTCGGTGACTACAGGGAGAATAGAATAAAAGAGAATCGGTTTTAAGAGGGAACATGGAGATTCAGAATAGAGATAAGGAATAAATTACTATCTAAAGATAGGACTGGTGTCATCTGCAAGTGGGACAAATCTAGGGTACATGTGGTGTTTTGAAGATTCCTAGGAAAGCTCCCGCTCCCCCATAAACTTATCTTTCATGCTGGCCTTTAGAGAGCTCTCAATCCTGTCCATCACTCATCCTTTCCACACTCCCTAAAAATCAAACAGTCTTATGATTCATTAAGTCATAAGCGTATCGGTATGGCTTACAGGACCAGCCGCATAATCTGTGGGGCCGAGTATGAAACGAAAATGTAGAGTCCGTGTTCAAAAATTAAGGATTTCAAGATGGTGAGCGCAGAACATCAAAACCAAATATGGCCCCCCTTCTAAATGCAGAGATCTGTGCAACTGCCAGGTTATAAGCCATGAAGCCAGCCCTGATGGCTTAGTTTGGCAAGATGTAGAAAACAAGGAGGTTGGACCATGTGGCCTCTAAGATCCCTTAAGCACGGAGCAAATGATTGACCTAGATCCAATGCCTACTCATGGAGCCACCAGCCTCATGAGGTCACGGAGGTGGGAAGAGGTCATCATGAGGAGAGGAGGAAAGGAGACCGAAAGCAAATGAAAATGAGCCCAATTCACCCTGCAGGCATGTGAAGGCCTGCTCTGGGTGAAGGATGATATCACGAGCACAGGAAAACCTGAAAAGTAAGTCTTGAGTCCCTGGCCATTCTGTTGCTGATGCCCGTTCTCTACAATATCCCCAGTTGGTCCTTAGCCTCCACAGAAAAGCCCTCTCTTCTCAGCCTTGACCAATCGCCATGTTCCCTCCATCCAAGCCTAGGGACTTGTGCCTCTCTAGTCCCACTCTCTGTGTTGTAAATTAATAAGGCTGACACAAGTTAAGGCGTTAATAGCTAATAATGTGTTAACACCTAAATCTATTATTTTTTAAATGGTTCATTTAAAAGGAAAGAAAAGAAGATGAAACCCAACCCTCCAGCTCCTAGGAGAACAGCCTAAAATGGAATGAGATAAATTCAAAGTTTACCGTAAGGTAGTTTTTTTAATCGTAAACCTATATGTGAATTCTACTTTCTAGACTATAATACAATTGTGTCTATTTTCTTTCTTTTGTTATTTCTTTTTTTCTCTTTTTTTCTTTTTTTTTTTTTTTTAGGAAGGTTAGCCCTGAGCTAATATCCATGCCCATCTTCCTCTATTTTATATGTGAGATGCCTGCCACACCATGGCTTGATAACTAGTGCATAGGTCTATGCCGGGGATCCAAACTGGCAAACCCCCGGCCACTGGAGAGGATGGTGCACAATTAACCACTACGTCACCCAGCTGTTTTCCTATTTTTAAGAAACTTTAGTATGTCAAATTACTTATATCTAGAACAAAATAAGTTCTCTACATTTTCATTTTTCTCCAGGCATAAACAAAATATTCAGTCCAGTGCAATTGTGAGAAGCCACATTCATATGTAGGAACAAGTTGATTTTTATTTTATTTTATTTTTATTTGGAATAACTAGGAGTTCAAAAGCACCAGTCCATAAGGTGACATAACTCATTTTTCAAAGACTAGCTATGGGGTTTTACCAAGGCCTAGGGCCTCAGCTCTGGAAAGTTTGCACTAGCCCTTTTGACCCATAAAATTAGCATGTGCTCTCCCCAAACAGAATGTCTGGGTCATTTTGATGTAACCAATTCTCTAACAGCTGAAAGTTTCTTTTTTTTTTTTGAGGAAGATTAACCCTGAACTAACATCTACCACCAATCCTCCTCTTTTTGCTGAGGAAGATTGGCCCTGAGCTAACATCTATGCCCATCTTCCTCTACTTTGGATGTGGGATGCCACCACAGCATGGCTTGATGTGTGGTGCATAGGTCCACACCTGGGATCAAAACCGGTGAACCCTAGGCCACCAAAGCAGAGTGTGCAAACTTAACCGCTATACCACTGGGCCAGCCCCAAGCCGAAAGTTTCTTGATAACACAAAATTAAAAAGTACCAACTTTTCCAATCATGTACTCTTTGAGCTGTCAAGAAAGGATGAAATTGGCCAATACAGAAAAGGTGGATTTAGGAGATTTTCTTGTGCATTCTGTCACTAAAGCATTTATGAGAACAGAAATTCAAACTTAACCCCTGCTCCATTGACTCCACACATACGCACACAAGTTGATGCTCCACATTCGTTCTGTGGCTTCACCAAACTGCTGGAGGGAAAACGCTGGTCAACTTCCTTGAGACAACGTTGGTATGTTAGTTACTGGTTGCCTTTTAATAAATATCAACAAGAAAATAATTGCTGTTGTATTTTGACCGCTTCTCACAGACCGGGCTCCACGCCCACGGCCGTGCACGCATTATCCCAGTCGCACTGATGCTGAGTGGCCACCATGAGGATTAAATGAACTAGGCATTCAAAGTTAGCTAATATTAGCTAATTTGTGTATGTTATTTTCTTTAATCCCTTTAATAATCACATGATTAATAAATTAATAAGATCAAACTACTAAGTGACAGCTGGAATTTACTCCAGTTCAATAAAATGGAAAACCTGTGCTCTTTCCCTTCCTCTGCTTTCTAACTAGGCCCAAGGCTGGGCCCATAGGACTTTTTCCCATGAATCCCCTCTGCTTCACCCCCTCCATGAATCTACCTCCACAGCACGCCAAGGAGAAGTGTCTGCTTCATTTGCTTTTTGTCCTAGCGATACTACTCATTTGACATTTATTATTTATTTCTTTATTTTTGTATCAATATAGCTTCTCCTGGTAAAAAATGTATGACTAGGTGGTGGCTGAACCCTTGAAGGAAACCAGCCTGAGTGACCGTCAGTTCCAGACCTGGAGGCGGCAGGAGTTAGAAGGGACAGCGTCATATGTGCAGAAGTAATTTCCAGACATTTAGGAGAGGAGCACCATGGAAGAGGCACAAGCAAAGTGTCTCCAAGGGTCAGAGGCAGGGTCCTCTCAGGTGTGGGGGTCAGGGGAAGCTTCACAAAGAAGGCGACATGGGGATGGGCCTTGAACAACAGGTAGGTTTGCAGGGAGGACCTCCCAGCAGAGAGCTCACAGCATCACTACGGAATCAGGAGGAGTTCAGTTAAGCCGAAGGCACGTGACTACATGAAATGGAAGCTATGGCTGGAAAATCGGTGAGGTACAAAGAATGCCAGGACAAAGGTTTTATCATTTATTCTCCTGCCTAAAGGGAGCCCTTAGGAGGCAAGGGGACAGGAAGGCAGCCTACTCAGACCTGGTTCTGGGCAGAGTGTGCTGCTAACGCACAGCAGTGTGTATAATGGAGGCAACAGTGAGAGGGCACCTGGGAGACCTGCTCACACCCAGGCCAAGTAATGAGAGCCTGACCCAGGGGGGCAGAGATGGTGTGGTGCGAGGACAGGTGCGGGGACACTGATGAGCTAGTCTTGGCGGAATTTGGAAAGTGGCTGGCGAAGGGAAGGGAAAGGATGTGGGAGGAATCAAAGTCCATCTGTGGCTGGAAGAATGTGGGCACCATGCCTCCCCAACCTTGATGGGCGTACTGAGAGAGGAACGCAAGGCGCTCCCGGTAGAACACAGGGAACCCCGGCTGCAGCGCCTAGCACACTCCCTTTTTCCTTTATCTCCCTTGTCTTCATTGTCATTACAACTGTACCTTTTTTCCCCTTGGAGGTATATTTCCGTATCTACTCACCACGCCCTGCAAGGCCCTCCCTGACCTGACTCCAGCTAAGCCTCGCCAACCTTCTGCTCCTCAAACATAACAAGCTTGATCCTCTCAAGGCCTTGCACCTTGCTCCCTCTGTCTGTAACCTTCCCCTCACCTCCAGTGTTCACCTGGTTGGCTTCTCACCATCGTCAGATCTCAGTTCAGATGCTGCTCCCTCAGAGAGGCCCTCCCTCACTACCCAGTCTGAAGCAGACCCAGTCTTGCCCTCCCAGCCCGGGATCCCATCATCCTGCTACATTTCCCACATGGCACTTCCAGCCGCCTGCAGGTTTCTCGACTGTCATCTGTCTCCCCTCACCAGAACACCAGCTTCATGAGAACAGGGACCTCACCTGCTCACCATTGCAGACCTAAGACCTAGAACAGGGCCTGGCTCCTCACAAGCACAGTAGTCCTGGAATGAATCAATCTGCCGCACCACGTATCTCCCTCATGACCTGGCTTTCCTCAGGGAACAGAGCTGCAACCTCAGCCCAATCTCCCAATCAAAATACACCTTCACTGCGATAGCATGTCAACCACACTGACCGACACTTCTCTTATTTCTACTACCACTATTACTACTACTGCTTAGTACCTA